GTGTTTTACTATTATATATGGTGTGTCTGGATTAATATTACTGCAAAACATATATTTAGGAAGCTGCTATTGGACTAGGACTGCAGACTAGATGTGTACAGACTTAAAGATATTATTTTTCCTACAGTATTAGAATTGCCAGGGCCATCAACTATTAATGCTTGTTTCTTAAATCGTCCAGTCAATATGATTTGGTCTTATTGCCGTTGCAATTAATGTTTCCTCAAAAGTGATGCATGCTTATTTCTATTATCTCTCTCTACATTTTACATTAACGGACCATTGTTATGGGATCTCCTGTTACTCTTCGCGTTCCCCCGCCAGATCCCTTTGTGATTCCCATTTTTTTTCATATGATGCAGAATTTGAACAGGAAAAAGAGAACCAAGAGTTTGAAGCAACTGGTCTAATTCCTGGCTGCGAGCTCAAATCTGTCATCCTGGATTACATGGCAGAGGAAATGATGAGGTGCTCAGTTTACCCCCAAGAATTCCCAGCTGGAAAAAAGCAGCTATAGCCTTAATCACAACCCATCCCTGCTTTGACAGAGCGAGGATCCTCCTCAGGCTATTTGGGGAAGTGAGGACTCTCTCAAAACAAAGATGGCAAACTCTCACACTAAGATTGCGCAACTTGGATGTCCACATGTCCTCGTTAACTCCCAGAAATACAAATTCCCAAAAGATTTGACAGATTTCCAAAGTAATATGCAGCGGTAAATATGTTGTTTTAGACTTCTGCCTGTCTCTCTGTCCCAATTCCTCACTCCTCACTCGTCGTTGGAAGAAAGATGAACAACATTTTGTTTGTGTTAGACGAGGTATGTTGTGTTTAAGGAAACCTTAAATATGTGTCAGTTTTCCGCATCTTTTCACCCTTGTGCCTGAGCATGTGAGTGATTACCCCAGAAAATCACTCCAAATATCTGATTGAATTGTGTTATTATTACTGAGTTTTTTGGGAGGCGTGCGATTCCTGTCAAATACATAAAACTTTATGGTTATTTTTTCCAGCTGGCTTCGTAGTACAGGCCCCAGGTAATATAAGGTTGGTTCTGTAATGTTGTTAATATTAGTTGGTGAACAATAAATGTGGCCTTTTTCTTGGGGGTATTAATATGTAAATGAGCACTTCAGTGGGAGCATCTGTTTGTTTTTTTGCATTTAATGTCTTTATTGGACAGTTAATGGTGTAGAGAAAGACAAAGGAAATTACATTTAACAAAGGTCTGTGCTCAGAACGATGCAGTAATGTGGTATCCACCTTAAACATCTTTCTGTCCTTTTTTATTTTGTTTATGTTTCTTGACTATCAATAGTTGGGGAAAAGATTTGTGTCAACATAGTCCAGTCCTCTTCTTTTTTAACAGTTTAAGGTCAATCCACAGCTCTGCCGAACACCGATTTTCAAACCAAATGTCTTAATCCAGTTAGGAGCATCAACTTTATTTAAATTATGACACAGCCTTTAAGGGACGTAGGGGAATTCATCCTTAAAGTGCATATTTTTACATCTTTACTGTCTTTGTGGTGATAACACTGCACCCACCTTTTATTTTACTGTTGCATCACAGATGACTAATGTTACATTGTCAGTGTGACAATTCAAAACAATCAGATGACCCTGAGCGTGTTTGTGCGAGACTCTCACTGTACGACTCTGAATCAAAAACAGAAAGAAATCAAGGCCCTTCTGGAAAGATCTTCCTGGAAAGTTACTCTGATAAGATTCAGCACATATCGCTGCAGAAACAGAGCTGTGAGAGGAGACGGGCGAGACAAAGCGGGGAGGGATAGGAAGGAAAGGTATGAGGAGAGAAGAATGAGGAGACATTCCTGCATTTAGAGACTGGTAGCAGCTTGTGCATAAGAGTCGGTGGCCACGTCTTCTACCAGGTGAACCATTGCAGCAAAACAATGGTTTAAATGCCATCCTGTCTCGGGACATAACATCGTCATCTTCCTCTGAGTAACGCTCTATTGTTTCCTCCAAATTTCCGACAGTGTCGAAAAATCCCCTTTGAAATTTGCAGCTGGATACCGGTTGTCTTCTTGTACTCTTCTGGTGTCTTAAGTCTCTATCCTGAGGTGGGAGAGCAGTGTTTCCAGTGTACTAGCAGGTGTTCTTCCCGGCATTCAGCAGGTGGTGTCTTGTGGCTGACAGAGTTTTCATCATGTGGTATGTCGATTCTCCAGCGAAGAGTTTTCGGGCAAATTACAGGACTGCCATTAAACATCCCAGTCAGCACATGTCGATGACTTCAGATATGGGGAGGCCCCAGTTCACCTCTGGAGCTCTGTATGCACACGGTTGAACAGTGGCCATACCAAAGTCAAGGAATTCTAACCCTGAAGGGCTCATCCTGGTGGTTGACGAGCATAACTGTTATGGGGCGGATTTCATTAGGAGTCAATGGTGCCTTTGCAGCATCTCGAAGGCGAGGAAAGACATGTCTTGGATTATGAAACCGTCTATGAATCTCACCAAGTTGTTTTTCTCTGTCCTGAGTAGTTCCAGCATTTTCACTTCTGTGACGTGATGTTTAACGTGTTTGTGGATTCTTATGGCTGTAGTCTCGGCTGTTTTTATATTGACACACGTGGCAAATTTGCCAAACATCCTTCTCCAATAAACGACTCCTTGTTCTTTTCTTTTTCTTTATACGAGGTTGGGGAAGACATTTTTTTCTATCAAATGTTTCCAAACAGTAGATGAGTACAGTAGATTCTGACTTCTTGTTCTGGGAATTTGATTTTGTCTCGAGATAATCTTCCCAAATGAACACCACTGTTATGATTTTTATACCGTGAAAGCAGTCGGCACAAGTAAAAAACAAATAACGTTACGCTAGAAACAAATCATAAAAGTGTTGTTTATTTGAGAAGATTATCTTGTTGAACAAAATGTGTCAGTATGATAAACTTCTGTTTGTTTCTGTTTGGCACAAACATCCACTGGCACTCAAGGTTGACCCGATTAAAATGTGGTGGTCAAAGGTCTCTGTGACTTTTGGCCAATTCATTTTCATGTGCTTATTTTGTCAATTGCACACAAACAGAGTCATATGATGAGTGTTGCTCCACCTCAGACACAGTTCCTCACACGTTTCACTTTCTTATAAATCTAACACACACACACACACACACACACACACACACACACACACACACACATACACACACACACTCTGTCTTTCACATGTCTACATCTCACTTCCACACCCACAAATCCTCACACATACAGCACAGGATGCATAGCGTTTACACAGTACACGGGAAATATGACTGTTATTGCTCTGTCCGTCAATGACCTCTCTCTCTCTCACTCACTCACTCACTCACACTCACACACACACACACACACACACACACACACACACACACACACACACAGCATGTCAGTGAGGTTAGCAGAATCGGATATTTCCCACTCATTCTAACTGTTTGAATACTAACTCTGAAACGCCCCCATTACTCCATGTACGCCTACATACATGAGATTGGTTGTAATATTCACATATAATAACTGTTAGTTGTTAATTTCTTGTAGCTAACGGAATTGACAAAGCTAACAGTGTGCTAATAACATCAGGTAGGTGTAATCAGGCATTTCCCAGGAGAAATTGTATGAATACTAACTCTGAAACAACACATTTCTTTATGTGCGCATAAATAAAATCTACATTTACAAACAATTACTTCAGTTTAATAGATTCATATTAAAAGCCCCCAAACTGTTATTTTTTGGAAGTTATGTTAGAGCTCATGAAAAACTGCATATTATCAGAATGAATACAGCTCTTACATGTTGTCAAGTCTCACCAAATAATATTCATTTAAAAGCTCTAAATTGCTTTTCACTGTCTTTACATTTGATTGAGAGATTTGACAGAAGCACATAATCAGCAAAAAAGTGTCAACAGGAGCTTTTCTGACAGTGGAGAGTTTCTGTGGCTCACTTCAACGTCTCTCTCTGGACTGTGTAACATCATACATTTTTTAGATTAAAAAGCTGGGATGTAGCTCAAATAAACCCTTTGCCCTCTGCTGTGGTGCAGGAAGGGAGGGAGTGTTGAGAGTCAAGGATTACCTCCTTTTCCAGGATGGGTGATTCATTCTCTTGTCTTAAAAAGTAACAAGTCATCTCTGTTGCTTTCAAAGCAGTTTCAATGAAATGGTTGCTGCAAGTAAAATGGAGGGCTGTCCTGTGAAATGAAAGCAGACAGACAGCTCATGGTATATAATTTAGAAAAAGAGAGATATAAAAAAAGGTCTGGGCACTGGTGTTGACAACAGGTCCCTCAGGGGCCGGTAAGACTGAAGGTTGGATATTTGTTTGGCCTCTGGTGGGAACATGTATATGAAAGCCAGGTGTTTTTATCCAAACACACAGCTGAGAGAAATTATGTTGTTCATTTTTAAAGCCACGGTTTTAAAGCTGGCAGTCAAATCCAAATGGAAATGGTGAATATGTGGTGTCTAATAAAGCAGTTAGAACTGCTATTCAATACAATGCTCCAAGCAAATGCAGCAGGGCAAGGAAGGAAACCTTTATATTTTCTAAAGAGATGTAGAGTATGTAGCACTAATGAGTACTGAAAACTACTGTTGCCATTGAATTATTGTCAGTCTTGTTTATTTACTACCTTTGCATTTACATTAAAAAAAATCTGAATAAAAACAGTTTAGACTGGTTTATTGAGGCAGAGTTACTTAAAGACGACAAAAAACATGAAATGTTTGTAGAGTTATGCCTGTTACGATATTTTTACGTTATCGACTGATCGTATAATATATGGCCATAACCTTCATTGTTTTTTAACTTAATCAATTTATCGTACCATATATGAGCATTACCTCCATAACTATTAATTATCAACTTATCGTACAATTTACGGACATGACTTCCATAGTTTTTTCATAATCAACTTATCGTACGATAAATAGACATGACCTCCATAGTTTTTTCGTAATCAACT